TCTCTTTTTTTTTTCTACTACTTATTTACAGTTCAACTTTTAAATCCTCGTCTGCTTTGATATCACGTTAAATTCTTACTCGCGTAATATCTTAAACTGTTTCAAGTCTTGAAATTAATTCTAGACTGAATAAATTCTAAATTTAACTTTTCTGCATTATATCCCGGGAGTGACATTATTTCTGACGGTGTCAACTCCTTAGCTCACATTGTACCCTTCTACTATAGGTATCTATCTTGTGACTTTAACCTAGCTGTCTGGCAATTAAGGATTTTCTCTTTTTTAAAAATGTCAGTGCGTTTTTTTTTTACGCTGCTAACATCATGCTGTGTTTGGAGATTCTTGAAATTAAGATTCTCAAACTATACTTGTACTGAAAATTATTCCGCCTTAAAGTACGGCAAGAATTTATCGATCGAATTTACTTGATCGAAAACATGAACTTAACATGAAATCTGCTACAGAATTTAGGAATACATATATTGATTCCATAAATCCTTCAGTCACATTATATTTTCTAGGAAAATCCTTGGCTTAAATAAATAAATTGTATTATTTAAAGTCTGGAATTTTCTCAGTCATTACACTTTATAGGGGAAATATATTTTAAACAAATAATTTTACCTTGTGTTGTCTTGTTTTCTTCCCTTTTTTTTTTTTATTTGAGTTACTTCCTCCTGTAGTTTTATGATTTTTTTTGTTGGTTAATTCCTATAGTTTTATGAATTAGTTCTTCTACGATTTGACTTGCCAAGGTAATATTCTATCCTTGTGGTGAATGAAAATTAATGAATATCAAAAGGAAACTTTTGTACAAGGGGAATTTTTTTTTTTTTTTTGTGTGCCCCTAATGATGAACACAAGGGATTATTTTTATGTTGAATTTTTTCTTCTTCTTCTTGCGTGTTCATAGGGGATTCCATTAGTCGCAATCATTGGCAATCGCTGCTTGCTTCACGCTTCTGTGCCACATAACACATTCCAATCTCACACAACGCAATGATGGCTCAATTTCTTCCATCATATTCCAGGTAATTATAAGAAATTTTTTAGCAGAAAAAAAAAAAAAGCTAAGAAGGTGCATACTAGGCGGCAGAAATAGTTAATGTTTTCTTTCCCTCAAGAACGAAAAAAAGAGAATTAATGGTGTCATTCCGCTCCTCATGCTCTTCGTTTATTGTAGAAATCCAATGGTCCACCAATGGGAGGATGGATATATAGTCTCACTCATATCAGACCATGTGCCCAACGTTGCATAGTCCACTGATTGGGCAGGGGCCTCAAAATGAGGTTATGGAGTATCGAACGTTGAGCCCATCTTGGAATAAGAAAACATAAAGTCATCCTAACTGCTGCATACAAACCTCATTGGTCGTTGAAAATAGTCAATGTTACTATAGTAGAGAGAAATAGACCTGCTATTGAAAACAAAAATCAACACTAAAGTCTCATAAGTATAAATTTGTTTGTGATTCACAGGATTGACATTGAAGAGGAAGATATCGGTCCGGTTCTGAAACTTGATTCCATGAAAAATGGAGAATTATGGAACGAAATGGATATTCTAATCTTCAACACTTGGCTTTGGTGGTACAGAAAAGGACCTAAACAGTATGAGCTCTGTAGACTATAAACACAAATTATAAGTTGTTTCTATAGAAGCATAATAACATGAATTAATTTCATTCACATGAATTATCCTTGTGGAATGTTTCTCCTAATTACAGATGGGATTATGTTCAAGATGGTGACATCATACTCAAAGATATGGATCGAATCCAAGACAAGTAATTTTCCAAGGAATTTGTCCCCACCATTACAAGTCACTTTCTTGTTTTCTTTCTCCTATCCATCTATACGTTCTGTTCATGACATGTGTGAAGTGCTCTTTCTTGAATTAGTGGCAAGGAGTGGAATGAACCAAATGTGACGAACTGTCGAAGAGAGACACAACCCATTAAAGGTTCAAGCTACTCCATCGGTTTACCGCAGGCGACCTACCTGGTGAAAGCCATCTTGAGCCAGATAGAAAAACCAGTTCATTTGCTTGACATAACCACTTTGCACAACTAAGAAAAGATGGGCATCCCAGCAGTGATAATGCATTTAGGCGCATGGATTGCACGCATTGGTGTATTGCTGGTGTCCAAGACACTTGGAATCAACTTCTCTATGCAAATCTCATTAGTCCACACAAATGGACATTTCACTTTTGTGTGAACCATAAAAAACATTACACATTTTGCTATGAAGTTGTTATTACCAAATCCCAATACATTGAAAAATTCTTTTCGGACAGAAGATGTGAAAATACAACTATTTGGATCCCCAAAAGTTTAATACCAAGTTGTACTTCTCAACTTTAGTTTGACTTTAGTAAAAGTACAATCATTCTTCCTTCTAGAAGACGAAAGTGGAAATGTTGAAAGGTTAAAAAGAAGCAATAAACAAATAAAAGCACTATGGTCTAATACAAAGTAATAGTGTTTCGAAGGCATATTATAATGGCTGATAAAGTCCTTGGCTATCATGACAAAGGCATCTAAAATGAAACTCCCATTTTACCAAAAATGTATAGTGTTTATCTAGTAGGTCCTGAAAACATAAACTACCGAAAAGATTCAGTTTTTAACTATTAAATTTGTATCAGAAATTGCCGATTTTGCATACTTTTTTTTAATATGATGTAATTTTAGACATATACAATGGCCAAAAACTGGCGTTACCGGTAGGAAAGCCCTACATGAGAAACTCCCAAACAAAGAAGAAAAAGTGTTTGCTGTAGAAGCATTTAGACTTGAAGACTACCTACGTATGTGAAACTCATACTCTGTTTTCAATAGCATACGATGAGTAAAATAATTACAAGCTACGAGAAAAATGAGAAATCAGAAAAGTGAGAAAGGAAAGAAGGAAAACAAAAATACGTAGCGGTTTCTTTAAGATACAACAACCAGGCCTAGCACTATTAGAAATGCATTCCAACTTTTACATCTTTTTTAGAGTACTAATCATCACACCAAGCTTTACTACCAAATGCCCTCTTCACAATCCTTTTAAAAAGCCCACCACACCACAAAAGCAACACAACTTTAAACTTTGTTCTCTTCTCTCTACAGCCTTACTCACTTTACTCGTTAGACTCACATGGCTTCTTTCCTCTCTTATGTTCTATTCCTAATTAGCCTCTTTTCAACCTTATTCCTCTCCATCAATGGAGTTCTCCCCAACGGCTACTTCAGCGAAGCCAAACCGATAAAGAGAACGGAAAAGCTGAGCCATCTCCACTTCTACTTCCATGACATCCTCAGTGGCAAAACCCCATCTGCTGTTAAAATCATTTCTAGTCCACCAAAAGCCAAGTCTGCTACTGGCTTGTTTGGAACCACTTTTATGACTGATGATGCATTGACTGTAGGGCAAGAACCCACCTCGAAAATCGTCGGCAGAGCGCAAGGTTTTTACTCTGCAGCCTCACAGAGTGATGTATCATTTCTTATGGTCATGAATTATGTCTTCACTGAAGGTAAGTACAATGGAAGTACCATTAGCATTCTTGGAAGAAATCCAGTCCTCGATGATGTGAGGGAAATGCCAATTGTTGGAGGCAGCGGTTTGTTTAGATTCGCCCGTGGCTATGCCTTGGCTCACACAGTGTGGTTTGATCCCAAGACTGGGGATGCCATTGTTGAGTACAATGTTTTTGTTTTACACTATTGACCCTCGTCATCATCTCATGTTAGCCATGCTTCTCTTTGTTTTTGCTTTTATTTTGTTCTTCCTGATTGATTGTGATTCAAGCCTTGTCTACCTTAATCTTATATGGAAGACTGTGTTTGTGCAATTTGTTTTCCTTTTAAGGTTGCCACAAGTTATTCTCTAAGACTTTGGATCATAGCAAGAAAGAAAGAAACCTTATTTAATATTGAATCTTATCACTAAAGAACAAGCCACTATCTAATTTGGAGCATCCGCTACATGTTCTGTTTGTTATTTATGACATCATGCAATAATTTTGTGATTGTCCCCACAAAATTGCAAAAACATTATATTATAGTTTTCTAGTAGGATTAGTGGGGGCTGAACTAATTACTTAAGTTAGGTGAAGTTAAAATTTCCTCGAGTTCACATCATGTTCATTCCATCTACTTTGAGAGCGCATTTATCAAACTGTAAAAGAATGCAAATGAATAAGGTAAGAATCACGACTTTCTTTTCTTGTGTTTATTAAACTTAAAAATAAAATCTTATCAATATAATCACTAAAATATCCTCCTACGCAATTAAATAATTATTAGCTAGATTGAATCCACTATGGATATATGAATAAATTTGACATGTACAATCCATATCAAGTAAGTGCAAGGATTGCCATTCATTTTCTTTGATAGATCTGATGTTACGTCTGGTGTTCCAAATGATGTTGAAACACTGTCTGGAACACGACTTAATTAATTAAGATCCGGGTTAATTACGTTCATTTGCTCGAGTAAAATAAAGTGCAGAAAGTAAAGGAACACACAATATGATATCGCAGTTCGGTGCGCACACCTACTCTGCGGGGCCACGCCCAGACAGTAAATAATTTCACTATACTTCAAGAATTACAATACTGATGGACTTATTCACTCAAGGACTCCCTCCTAGACTATGATGCCGTTGTGACGAATCTCCACAGTGATTGTTTAGTGTGCACCACGTCTTCTAAACTGCACGGTAAACTCCCTTCGACCGACAGAGCTTCCTCCCGAAAGCAACAAATCCCTCTCCTGAATGACGATCTCAATAACGCACTAGGCTCACAAAAACTCACAGACGTCTCTCTAAATATTTTCTCAGTAATAAGCTCTCAAATTCACAGACTTTTCCTCTGGAGATATTGTGACGACCCTCCTATGAGGCTGCCACTGTAACTTAAACTTTAACTTGTACTTACTGGGGTTTCTTAAAATTTGCGGAACATTTTTTTTTTTTTAATATAAGAAAGAATACTTTCATAATTTGTAACAATAATTTCAAATAAGTGAATCACTAAATTTCTTAAAGCTTTTCTTAATTTCAGTTAAGATAAAACGTTCTAAAAATATCTTTCAAACAGAGCAGCATTTGAACTCTTATTTCAAATGCTCTTTAAAAGCCTTTCTAAAACTGGCCAATTCAATCGGGCCATTTAATTTTGACTTTAAAACGGATTTCGTGAGAAATCTTAAATTCAAGTACATCTTAAAGCCCTTTTAAAATCAATCATTTAAATCGTCATGTTTAAAATTTATTTATTTGTTGCA